CTTATCGCGTGCCCCCCAACGTCTCCAAAGAAGGAAGAAGTGCCCCTGAAGAAACCTCACTCTGGCGGCACATTAACCCGAGAAAACCTCACCAGGAGGCACATTAGGAGGAGTGCGTATTTTCACAAGATGTACAAAGCTCTTGTTCGGTCTCAAGAGGACAGCTGAAGCCCAGGTGCTTCTTTTCATCACTAAATCGTCCTGTCGTGGGTGACCACTGTGAAAATGGAGTGGCACCGCTCAGAGGCGGGAAGGCAAGGGAGGGAAGGACACAGGGAAGAGTAACCACAGGGAGGAAGTGGGGAGAGAGCTGTTACACCGTGGGGAACTGCAGTCGATGCCATGAGACAAAATGTGTATGAACTGCTGTGTGGGAAATGAATTTCCTCTGTAAACTTTCACCCAAATCAAAATAAATTTTAAAAAATAAAAAAAACTGTATCAATTAGCAGGGGACATCAAGCTCAATTGGCACAACATGGCATACAAAAATGCCATTCTCCATCTTACTTCAGTGAGTAGTGACTAAGGTCTTAAAAGCTTGAGAGCGGGCATCTGAGAAGCAAGTATTGGTCTCTCCTTGTTCGGAGCAAAGAAAAGTAAAGAAAATCAAAGATGCATGGACATAGTCCAAAGGACTAATAGACCATGAGAACCTAAGCATACATGACCCTAAAACCAGAGTAACTAGATGGTGCCCAGCTACCAATACCAATCACTTGGAAAGGTATCAAAATTGATGATCCTGGAGAGAGTGGGAGAAAAATGTGGAACAAACTCAAAATCATATAAAACATCAGGCTTACTGGTCTGACAGAGGCTGGTGAAACCCCCAAGACTATGGCCCTGAGTCATCCTTCAGGCCTGGAATTTAACTTACTTCCATGGCTTAACTCTCAGCTATACAACAGACAGGCATACAAGCTGAACACCTACACCAGGGAGATGTACTTAGAACAATCAACCATGGGAGATCAGAAGGGCAGCATTTGCACAGGGAGAAAGGAGGCAGGAATGCACAGGCAAGAAGGACACTGAGAAAGGGTTACCACAGGAAGGAAAAGTGAGCTTTAACACTGCAGAGAATGTAACCAGTGTCACAAAACAAAATGTGTATGAACTGTTGAATATAAAACAAACTGCTTTGTAAAATTTCACCCAAATCACAATAAAGAGCTAAAATAAATAAATGAATGTAAAAAAATCATCTTATAAAAAAAAATTAAGTCAATTAAACGTTATTATTACCTGATTGGCTCAGACGATCATAGGCCATAATTTCCAGTAGATTTTGTCCAGTTTCTCCTTTTATTAGTTTAATCTTTGGTCTTGGAACCTGATGATTTTATAATCAAAAATCTTAATTTATTGATACCTATTTTATTCTAATATAATGAGCTATTCCTTTCTATTACACTGTACTTTTTGATAATGAACTAGACAATGGTACAAATTCTAATAAGTTAGAAAACTGGCAATAACTCTAAAAATTATAAACGAATATATAAAGTTTGATCTTGTAATTCTTCTTTCAGGAATTCAATCTACTCATACATTTTCACATTTAAATGGCACACACATTGCTGAGTTATTTCAAATAATAAAAAAGCAGAAACAACTTAATGCCCTGATTTTATGATGGTTGCTGTTGTTAACGGCCACGAGTCAGCCCTTGTCTCATGACCCCAGGTGTTAGGGAGTAAAAGTGCTCCACAGGGTTTTCTTGGCTGTAATCTTTTATGGAAGCAGTCTACCAGGTCTTTTCTTCCATGGAGCTGCTCAGTGGGTTTGAACCACCAAACTTTAGGTTAGCAGCCAGTCACAAACCATGTGTGCTCCCCTTCCAAAAAACAAAAACTATAGTACGTACATATAATGGAATAATATGCAACTATCAAAACAAATAAAGAAGCTCCTATAGCATAGTGCCTAAGGCTTGTGACTGCCAACCAGAAGGCTGGCAGTTCAAACCCATCAGCCACTCCTCGGAAGACTGGGCAATCTACTTCCATAGTGATACTGCCTCAGAAACCCAAGGAGGAGTTGCTATGAATCGGATCCAACATGATGGCAGTGACTTTGGTTTTTATATACTGAAATGGAAATATCTTCAAGACACACTGCGTAGAAATAAAGGAAAGTACACAATGTTCAGAATGTTTTCTTATCTGTACCTTTTAAAGGTATATTTATGTATATATGGGAGCTCTGATGGCACAGCACCTAAGGCATTTGACTGCTAACCAAAAGGCTGGTGGTTCAAACCCACCAGCCACTTCTCAGAAGAATAGGCAATCTATTTCCATAGAAATACCACCTCAGAAACCCAAGGAAGGGTCACTATGAGTCAGAACCAACTCGACAGCAGTGAGTTTGGAGTTGTGTGTGTGTGTATGTGCGCACATGGAGCTCTGGTGGTGTAGTGCCTAAGGCATTTGACTGCTAACCAGAAGGCTGATGGTTCAAACTACCAGCCACTCCTTGCAAGGAAGATTGGGTAATCTACTTCCATAGAGATACTGCCTTGGAAACCCAAGAAGGGGTCGCTATGAGTCGGATCTGACTTGACAGCTGTGAGTTTGTTTTTGTTTTTTTGTTTTGTTTGTTTGTGTGTGTGTGTGTGTGTGTGTACACACATACATATTTGATGGCATATGCATAAAATATTTCTTGAAGAACTCACAAGAAACCAGTAACATTAGTTCTACAGATTTTTGGATACGTTTTCATTATATTAACAGGGCACACATATGTAGAACACAATGTCGAAATAAAATATCAATCACATCCAAAACTGGAAAAGGCTTACCTGAAATGCTATGAGATAGCAAAGAGCAGCTAACTCAGAGAGCGCTCGCCACTGTACATCACTATGGTGCCCCATCTTCAAAAGTAGAGAACCAGCATGCATGTAGAAATGTCCTTTCATTTCTAAAAAAGTAGCTGAGAGTTCATCGTTTCCGCCCACAGAAGACTGCACAGACTGAAGAGCACTATCAAAACTGTAATATTAAAATATAAAACAGGTAGTCTATACCTTTTGCATTGTAAATAATCATGGTTTCATTATTTACTTCAAAATAAAAATAATAAAGGAGAGTTTACTTCAATCTTTATTTTCTGTATTCAAACTCATGGTGTTATTATGTGCCATCGAGTAGGCTCCGACTCATAGCGACCCCTCCTTGGGTTTCCAAGGCAGTCTCGCTACGGTAGCAGATTGCCCAACCTAGTAAGTCTTATTGTGTATTTTATAAACCATGGATTATCTGGTTATTTTTTATCCTGGTTACTCATAATATTTCAAGTTTAACCTCCAGAATGAAGTTACATTCCCACAGTTTTTTGTAGCCCTCCACGATACAAAAAGATACAAATGAAATAATAAGATTACTGACTATAGGTTAAGATTTCACATTAAACCAGGATAAAGCTGGGAAACTATTTTCTAATTCCTTCTTGATCAAATGGTTTCATTATTTTTCTGAGTTTGATTTTCCCAAATTAGACACGCCATCATCAAATTAAAAGTACAAAACAGATATGTGAGTTATCAATACTGGAACTATACTTCTTACTGTATATATAACCAGAGTTAGAACAGCTGTACTCACTATTATTTGTAATCTAGATACTAATGACTACTCCTAAATCCTAATAGTCCTCAGACTCTTCAGTTTTTATGAAAAGCAAAAGCAAACTCTTAATAGAAATGTAAAGCATGCTTTTAAAGTAGCTTATAAAAAAATCTAAGTGTGATGGTTAAGGTTATATGTCAACTTGGTTAGACCATCATTCTCAGTGGTTTGGCAATTACGTAATTATCCTCCATTTTGTGATCTGATGTGAGCAGTTGAAAAGAGTTTCCTTGGGAGTGTGGCCTATATCCAATATCTATGGATATTATGGCAAAGCTTGCCCTCTCTCAATCCCACATTTGACTTGTCATGCTCTGACCTCCAGTTCTTAGTACATGAGCTGGCAGCCTGCCATCTGACCTATAAACTTTGGGAACCACCAGCTCCTACAGCCCTGTGAGCCAGCAGCCTGCCATCTGACCTATCAGTTTGGTGTTGGTCAGCCCCTCAACCACATGAGTCAGGAGAAGCTCCAGTCTAACACTTGACCCACAGATTTGGGATTCGCCTGCCTCCACAACATAACTCTCCCTATATATATACACATACACTCACTGGTTTTGCTTCTCTACAGAACTCAGCCTAAGACATTTGGTACCAGGAGTGGGGTGCTGCTCTAACAAACACCCACAATGTGGATGTGGTTTTAGAATTGAGTAATAGATAGAGGCTGAAGAGTTTTAAAGTTCCTAAAAGTAAAAGCTTAGATTGCCCTGAAGAGACTGTTAGTGAATTATGGATATCAAAGGTAATTCTATGAGAGTTCAGAAGGAAGTTAAAAGACCTATAAAGTCTCTGTCAGCTTAGAAAATACATATGGCACGAGCAACAGAATACTGCTAGACATATGGATGTTGAATGTGCTTCTGGTGAGGCTTTAAAAGAAAATGATGAATATGTGATTGGATGGTAGAAGAAGGGCAATGTTTTTTATGTAGTAACAAAGAAATAGCCCTGAATTATGCTCAAATGTTTAGTGGAAGGTAGAACTTGCAAGTGATGAATTTGGATATCTAGCTAGGGAGATTTCTAAGCTTGATCTTAAAGGGGTGGCATAGTTTCTCCTTGCCACATATAGTAAAATGTGAGAAGAAAGAAATGGACTTAAAAATGAGTTATACAAAATGAAATAAAAAACTTAAAAGATTTTTTAAATTCTGTTTACAAACTAAGGACATGTATCCCAGGATATTCACCAAGGACATGGCCATACAATCTTTTTAAAAAGAGATTAAGCCTGTGACTGATGGACCTAACCACTACCATAGTAAAAAAAACCATCAACTTAGACTGAAGGCAAAAGAGAAAGAACAAAAGGAATGAAAACACTGTCTGCCTCTTAGAATTCTATGAGCAGGAAACAGGCCATAGAGCTACATCTGCTGTCCTCCAAGAAAAGAAAAGCACATCCCTGGAGCAAGATCAGATTAGGAACACAGGAAGCAGGGTGTTCTTGGTTTCAAAGGGTCTCCTGGATCTCAACAAGTGGGGCAACAGCCTCTTAGGTTTCAAAGAATCAGATCTTTGCCAACTTGGTTCTAGAGTGTGGAACTGCCATTAAGGTGTGCAAGAGGGACAATGTCACTGCCCAAAGCTGAGGGAACAGGGCTACTATGCCCAAGGGGGAGAGGAAAAAGGCCTGCCCAGGGACCTCAGAAAGATCAGAAGAATGCTGCTACCTAAAGCTGAGGGAGCACAGCTGCCATACCATTGGGTCTGGAAAGTGGAGCTAGAGACCAGGGCTGAGTGGCCTCCAACCCAGAATCCAGAGTGTGGTCAACACCCAGAGTCTGAAGGGCAAGGCCATTACTCAGATAGTTGCAGAGAGGACAGGATTATTTTCAAGCCTTGACAGCTTATGTAAATTGTTCTGCTGAGTTTTGGACTTGGCTGGTACCTGTTATCCCTTCTTTTCCTCTGATTTCTCCCATTTGTAATGGAAATGTGTACATTATTCCTGTTCTACCATTGTACTTTGGAAACAGATAACTTGTCATCTAGGTCTCACAGGTCCACAGATGAAAAGGTATTTTGCTCCAGAATAGAATACATCTGAAGTCTCATTCACATTTGATTTAGGTAATTCAGAAGATGATGTAATGGGGTGAATTTGTTTTGCATGTGGCATGGACATGAATTTTAGAGGGGCCAATGGGTGGAATATTATGGATTAAATTGTGTCCCCATAACCTTTAAGCCTATGGTATTACTCCCATTTGGGGATGGTTTTTCAGTGTTACATTAATGTGACAGGATTAATGTATGTTATGTCTTAAGTCAATCTCTTTAGAAATACAAAAGAGATTAAACAAGCCAAAAAAAAGAAAAAAGAGCAAATATGAGGGAAGAGGGATGCCCAGACATGTGAAGACTGTTCAGGAGAAGCTCAAAATAGACAAGGTCTTTCAAAAGACAGAGGAAAAAAAGCCTTCACCTAGAGCCTGCACCCTGAATTCAGAATTCTAGTCTCCTAAACTGTGAGAAAATAAATTTGTTATAGCAGCACTAGGTAACTAAGACATTAAGCAATAGGTATTTCTTCACCACTTATACAAAGTGAGGTCTGAGGATCCCTTGGGTTTCTAATACCCTTTCTGAGATGCTAAAATAATTTTTATAATAATACTAAGAAATTACTTTTCACTCCTATTTTCTCACTTGTATACAATGGGGTTTTCCAGAGGCCACATGGCAAGTAATATCTTAACAGACGAGACATACAAGTAGATGAGAATCCAGCTGTGTTCTATGAAGCCAGACTTTAGAGAGATTTACAAAACTACAAAATAATACCACTCTTCTCACAACTTTTTCCGTCATTTTAAAAAATAATTGCTTTTTTCATTAAAAAAAAAATATTACTGTTGTTAACATGCAATGGCTTATATCTCAGTTTTAATTTCTAAAATGGTAAATATTGATAGACATAAGCCACAAACTAAAGATCTTTGTGGTCCTTAGAGTGTTAAGTAAAAAGATTCTATGACCATGTGTTTAAATATGCATATAAAAATAAAATGTACTATTTCTAAGATAATCTAAAAATTTAAGTTAGCTTTTGGGATACTGCCTTTCCCCTACCGTCTTAAGCTAATAAATACTTCTTTAAGAAAACTCCCTACCCTCTACATTTCAGTGAAAAGAACTTCTTTCCAAATGCTAGATGGAGCCAAATGAAATAATTTCTAAACAAATTTAGAATCTAAATCAGGGATTGGCAAAGAACAAGTAATAATATTACTGGTTTTACAGGCTGTCGCATCTACAACTCCATCACCATAGCATGAAAACAGCCATAAACAATTATGAAAGCAAAGCAGCTAGGCTGTGTTTCAAATATAATTTAATTTACAAAATCGGGTAGTGGGCCACAAGCTCCAGTCAACCCCTACTCAAACAGCCTTACACAAATTTAAATGATGTTTTTGTTCAATAGATTTTAATAAGAGAGATACTGGTCCTCAAAAGCAAACTTTAGGATTATCATACATTTTATTTGAGTTCTTGTTTCCATGGTTGAAGTGTTTTCTGAAATCCTGGTGATGCTAAGTGTTTATACTAGTACATCTGAACCTATCCATCTGGTAACAGATGAAGAACTTTATTCTCAGAATAGGTTAGTGTGACTCTAACTTAACATTTTTCCATTTTTAGAAACGGAACCTGGAATAACAGAATATTCATTCTAAAGCTAGGCTGTATATCACACATGCAAAATTTAACAGTAAGTATAATTCTAATCTAAACTGTAAGACCTCTCTGGAAATCAAAGTCATGCCAAATTAATTATAGTCTCAAAAAGAAGTAAATAAGATTCCTTCCAGGTAGTTCACCAC